ACGTGGCGGTGGTAGTTGCGGGAAGAATACTCGAACGGACAGCTTGCCCACCTGATGTGAACCTTTTTGGTGCTCCGATTATCATTCGTCCATTCTATTTTTCTGCTCTATCTACAGATTTGATCGGCAGGTACGGACAACCACCGAGTGACGAGAGAGGCATATAAGAAAAGAGAATGGAGACTACCAGACTGTGATACTTCAAAGGATTCTCCGTGGCAGACAGCAGCAAACATCTGAGATGTGTTTCCTCGCTGGATGGATAAAATATTTTAATGTTGTCAAGTAGGACTTCGGTTGCGCCTGCATGCTGGCAGTGCATTGCTGGCTGCCTTTTTGTTCACATGTTTTTTTCTTCAGGGTAAAGAGATTTTTATTTATTTCATGAGATCACAGTTTTACAGTCGAGACGCCACACAACCTCGATACAAGGGGGGACCGAGTGTAACCACGTATTAGTGCTACTCTCGATGTCGCTATAGTTGGTCAATCGATGTTTAACTCTATCTTGACCGGTGAATTTTCTGTGGAATAAACTCCCTTCCTCACATCAAGTCTTTAATCTCCAGAGGTGTCCATATGCTGAGCAATTCAGTCCATCACTTGATAATATAGATAGCGCTTCAGAGAAATCCGACCGGACAACGACTGAGAGTGTCAGCCATCCCTTGCATGAGAGCACGAACTTCTACCTCCAAAGAATCATTGCAACGGAACATAAAGCGATAAGCGGCACAAATGACACTCCCAGCACTGTCTCTGAGAACCATACATGTAGCTGATGAACCACCTGACTCCATGAAGGAGCCAGAGAGAGAGAGAGAGAGAGAGAGCACCATATCCGCCCGGCATGGGCGGCCACGGCGGTTCAAGCACACAAGTCTTCTCCTCAGGAGCCACTATCTCGCCGGGCGCTAGCATTTTATACCTTTAATGACCTCCTTCAGAGAAAAATGATGCGCCAACTTAACGGCATTTAGTAATTGTCAGGGAATTCCGCTTTTGTATCAATGGGAGGTACTTCCTTGTCATGTGTTTGGATTTTATATAGTTGCCAACAACGTCAGGCATGCATAATAACCATGTCGCAACCATCATCAGCCATTCCTTCTCGGTATTCAACAATTGATCATCACTTGGTAGTGGCCGTCTAAATTTCATGTTCACCCAAGTATTTCTAGCATGATTACATGTGATGAAGGCATGAAATGTCCCTTCCTCCTCCATGCCACATAGAGGACATGTTTCTCATTTGGACATGTGTCGATTTACTTTGCCTTGTGAAGTAGGCAAAACTCCTGAAGCAACCTTTCCAAGCTGAAATTTTCATTATTAGGGAAACTCAAGACATCCATATACAATTCCAAATAGATATTGCACCATTTTGAGATTACATCAGTTGAAGTGTGTCATTATAAAGTGTTCGTTCATCATTGTAAGGTGTTGCTTCTACAAAAAAAGACGGATCAAATAAAAGGTGCACCAGTGAGGTGCCACGGAAAAAAATAGAAAGAAAAAGTGAGGATGGGAGAAGGAGCAACACCACCATCCTTTTAGTACATTTGTGCTTCAATGTAGCACAACTTCATGCATTGTAGGATGGACAGTTTCATGAGCTTCATTTTTTTATATGAATGGGGAAATTACATTAAAGAACTTGGCCTGTATATTCCGGTGACGAGCATCATCAAATGCTCGAGGTCTTCATGAGCAAGCAAGTTGGATACACCCCCACTTAGTCCATAGGAGAACTTTCACATATTCATAGCTCTGCGTGCATTTTACTTGCATGGCGATCCCTGCTCCTTGCGTTAACGTCGATCATAAGGCCTTCTCCATTGCCTTGCGTTGATGCAAGACTTTCTTCATTTTTGACTTCTCAAAACCCCATTCATAATTTTATTTTCACATAAGTTGTGATCACCCCCACAGTGTCTCTGGATCACATGGTTTAGCAGATCCGAGAGCAACTGTGAAAACGGGCTTGGAGCACTCCAAATGCCCTCTCGACATCCTCTTCTAACAGCTTCTCGCCCTTGGGCAAAGTGTTTTAACCCATGGCCAGACTATATAGGAACTACATCATAGCTCCGATCTCGACGATCACCGTTGACACAAAATGTGTGATCTTGACTATAGATAGCCTGACATGCTGCAATTTGCAAGGCAACAAGACCTATGTCTATTGCCAACACAATGAGTCCATCAATATTTTTAGTGTAAATTTGTGCACGCAGTGTGGGTCATATCTCAAGTAGCTTCAAACCTTTATCTCGCCGTAGTGCCCATAATATGTTCGGCAATTGGTTACGAGGTATTGACAAACTATTTTATGCACATATTCTTGTGGGAAGGACAACCTTATGTTGGTCTCTTCGGCTTAACAAGAGTGATGTGGTTTTTAACACAAAACGTGTTTCATATGTGCAGATTTTTTATGAAGGAAATATGCCCTAGAGGCAATAATAAAGTTGTTATTTTATATTTCCTTATATCATGATAAATGTTTATTATTCATGATAGAATTGTATTATCCGGAAACTTGATACATGTGTGGATACATAGACAAAACATCGTGTCCCTAATAAGCCTCTACTAGACTAGCTCGTTGATCAAAGATGGTTAAGTTTCCTAACCATATATATGTGTTGTCATTTGATAAACGGGATCACATCATTAGGAGAATGATGTGATGGACAAGACCCATTCATTAGCTTAGCATTATGATCGTTCAGTTATATTGCTATTGCTTTCTTCATGTCAAATACATATTCCTTCGACTATGAGATTATGCAACTCCCGGATACCGGAGGAATACCTTGTGTGCTATCAAACATCACAACGTAACTGGGTGATTATAAAGATGCTCTACAGGTATCTCCGAAGGTGTTTGTTGGGTTGGCAAAGATCGAGATTAGGATTTGTCACTCCGAGTATCGGAGAGGTATCTCTGGGCCCTCTCGGTAATACACATCATAAGAAGCCTTGCAAGCAAAGTGACTAATGAGTTAGTTACAGGATGATGTATTACGGAACGAGTAAAGAGAGTTGCCGGTAAACGAGATTGAACTATGTATGAAGATACCGACGATCGAATGTTGGGCAAGTAACATAACAATGCACTACTGGAATCAGGATCTTTGCAGTCAGCTAGCTGACGACAAAGAAGATCTTTGCCATCAGCTAACAGAAACATGATGGCAAAGAGGGTGTTTGCCGTTAGCCACCTCTTTGCCGTCCGCTAGCTGACGTCATAGAAGTTTTGTCGTCCGCTTGCAGACGGCAAAGAGGGAGGGTGGCCTACTAGCGAGAACCACCTAACGGCCACTTTCTTTGTCGTCTGCTAGCAGACCGCAAAGCTTCGTTGCCGTCTGCTAGCAGACGGCAAAGAAAGTGGCCAAACTAACGTTCGTTAGCTAGGCTCTTTGCCGTCTGCTAGCAGACGACAAAGAGCTGGGACCTAACCTAAAAAGTGGCCAGCCCCACCCCTCTATCTCCCCTCTCTCCCTTCCCTCACCACACCTGTGGTGCCGCCCCTATGCTTGAGCCACCCCGGCCGCCCAAGCGGCCCGCCCCGCCGCGACACCCCGACCC